CACACAGGACACCATTAGCAATCAAGGGAAATGTAAACAAACATAAAGATGCCGTATTAAATCACAATTGCATAAAATTAACTGTGGTGAACTCAAGTATTTACTTAAAATGCCCTGTGACACTGCTCATGTCCACAGGAGCAGTCCATCTCACAGGTAACCTGCATATAGCAGTAACACATGATCTCTCAGAGTTCTCACACATTCTTCATCATTTTTAGCACAATACAGTAAAGCCTGAATAAAAACCATGAGACACATACAAAATGCCACTACTGATGCTGAAAGTGCTCCCAAGAAACAGAGGAAAGTCATCATATTACAAGAAAAGATTGAACTGGTTGTTATGTTCCACAGAATGAAATCTGCAGCTGAGGCTGCCCGCAATTTCCAGATAAATTAATTCAGCATAAGGATCATTGTAAAAAAAGAAGAAAAGGAATTGTGAAGCCATCGCTGCAGCTACGCCAGCAGACATGAAAACCCTGCACTTTGTGTGAAATACCATTTAAACTCGTATTGCAAATGCACCTTTCGCCAGGTGTGGCGGCTCACACCTGTAATCCCAGCACTTTGGAAGGCCAAGTGGGAGGATCTCTTGAAGCCCGGAGTCTGAGACTGCACTGAGCTGTGACGAGCCACCGCACTGTAGGTGGGCAAGAGAGAGACCCTCAGGGAGGGGAGAAGAGAAAATGCAGCTTTTATGTGGGTGCAAGATTGCTGTAAGAAAGACAAACCTATAGACTCTAATATTATTTGGGAAGTTGTCATTTTATGACAACCTAAAGCAAAAGGAAGGTGAAGCATCTAAAAGCTGGAGAATTTAATTATCAAACGATGGTTTGATAATTCAGAAAGAGATTTGGCTTTAAAATTGTCAAAATGAGAGAAGCAGCTTCTGCTGACCAAGAGGCAGCAGAGCTCCCAGACACCATTAAGAAAATCATTGATTTGGGGGGGGGGGCGGCAAGGGCAATATACGTAATGTTAACATTTGTACCACCATAATATGCTGAAAAAAATTAATTAATAAAAAGAAAATCATTGAGGAAGAAGAAAATCTGCCCAAACAGCTTTTTAATACAGATGAAAGTTATCCATTCTGGGGGGGGGGGGGGGAAATGCCACAAAGGACTTGTATTAGCAAGAAAGAGAAGTACCAGCATTTAAGGTAGAAACAGATAGGCTAACTCTACTGTTTCATGGACGTGCAGTTGGGTTTTTGATCACGACTGTCCTTATCTATAAAGCTGCCCGCCTTGAAGGGAAAGATAAACACCAGCTGTCAGTCTCTTGGTTGTACAAGGCATGGAAAGTGAAAACCCCTTTTATGGACTGGCCCCATCGATGCTCTGTCCCGTAAGTCAAAAGTATCTTGCCAATAAAGGACTGCTTTTTAAAGTTATTCTGATATTGGACAATGCCCCTGGCCACCTAGAAACCCGAGTTCAAGACCAAAGGTGTTGAAGCGGTCTACTTGTCCCCAAATACAAAGTTCTTAACTTAGCCTCTGGATGGAGAGTCATAAGGACCATTTTCTTTCCTTCTTTATTTTTGGAGACAGAGTCTCACTTTATTACCTGGGCTGTAGTATAATGATGTCATCATAGTTCACTGCAATCTCAAACTCCTGGGCTCAAGTGATCCGCCTGCCTCGGACTCCCACACAGCTGGCATTACAGGTGTGAGCCACTGCACCCAGCTGTCATAAGGACCTTTAAGAGTCACCACACACAGTACTCCATGGAAAGAATTGTCAACACTATGGAAAAGAACCCCCATAGAGAGAACATCATGAATGTACGGAAGGATTACACCACTGAAGATGCCATTATTGTTATAGAAAAAGCCCAAAGCCATAACTTCCTGCTGGAGAAAACTGTGTCCAGATGTTCTGCATGACTTCACAGGATTTACAACAGAGCCAATCAAGGAAATCATGATAGAAACTGAATATGGTACAACAGTTGGTGGGTGAAGGACTTTAAGATATGGATTCTATAGAAATCCATGAGCTAACACACATCACACCAGAGGATGACATGACAGAGAGGAGTGCTTCCCAACCAGCACCAGAATATGAGGAAGACGGCACAGAAGCCGCAGTGACAGAAAACAATTAAAATGAGACCTCCTGGCAGAAGGGTTCCAATCTTTCAGGACTGCTTTTGACTTCTTTTAAAGAGAGACCTTTTCTACGATACAAGAACAGAAACTAAATTGGTATAGGAACATTTTTAGAGAACTGAAAAAGTAAAAAAGTCAGACAGAAATGATGACAGATTTCCCTAAAGTTCCACCGAGTAAGTGTGCTTCCCCCCTCTTCTGCCTCAGCCACCCCTGAGACAAGTCTAAACCCTCCTCTTCCTCCTCAGGCTACTCAACTTGAAGGTAAGGATAAAGTCCTTTATGATGAGCCAATTCCACTTAATGAATAGTAAATATATTTTCGCTTCCTTATTAACATTTCCTTTTCCTGGCCGGGCGTGGTGGCTCACACCTGTAATCCTAGGACTCTAGGAGGCCTAGGCGGGTGGATCGTTTGAGCTCAGGAGTTCAAGACCGGGCTGAGCATGAGCGAGACTCCATCTCTACTAAAAAAATAGAAAGAAATTAGCTGGACAACTAAAAAAAAAAAATATATATATATATATATAATCAGCCGGGTATGGTGGCACATACCTGTAGTCCCAACTACTGGGGAGGCTGAAGCAGGAGGATTGCTTGAGCCCAGGAGCTTGAGATTGCTGTGAGCTAGGCTGACGCCATGGCACTCTAGCCCGGGCAACAAACAGAGTGAGACTCTATCTCAAAAAAGAAAATTTTTTTCTTTTCCCTAGCTTACTTTATTGTAAAAAAAAAAAAAATAGTATATAATACATGTGGCATACAAAATATGTGTTAATCATCTGTTTATGTTATCAATGAGGATTCCTCTCAACAGCAGCCTATCAATAGTTAAGTTTATGGGGAGTCAAAAATTATACTCGCATTTTCAACGAATCCTATTTTTTCCATCCCACTCTGTATCACAATTGTCTAGCATTTTAGTCTGGTCTTTATGATAGGGAACTTCAAAAATTCTTGGAATTTCTGGAGTGATAAGGCATGTCTTCGTTACACATGAGCCTGAGTTTATGGTAAGAGATAAGATGGTTCAGGTGATTAAAGGGTTGGGGTTTTTTTTGTTTTTTTTGAAACAGAGTCTCACTCTGTCTCCTGGCCAGAGTGTGGTGGCATAATCATAGCTCACACCAACCCCAAACTCCTGGGCTCAAGTGATCCTCTTGCCCTAGACTCTCAAGTAGCTGGGACTACAAGCTCACACCACCACGCCTGGCTAATTTTTTCTATTTTTGGTAGCGGTATGGTCTCGCTCTTGCTCAGGCTGGTCTTGAACTCCTGACTTCGATGGATCCTCCTGCCTTTGCCTCTCAGAGTACTAGGATTACAGGCATTAGCCACCATGCCTGGCCCTGGGTTGGGGTTTTGAGCCATTCTGACTTGGGGGTGCAATATGGAGACTGAGTTCACTCTCATAGTCAATGAATTGATCAATTGTGCCTATATAATGAAATCCCAATAAAAACTGTGACCACAAAAAAACCAAACAAACAAACAACAAAAATCCTATGAACACCAAGGGAAGCTTCCTGTTTGGTGAAGGCACCAACGTGTCCGGAGAGCGACTCCATGGGGAAAGGGCACAGAAGCTCTGTGTGTGAGACCCTCCCAGATCCTGCCCTATGTGTCTCTTCATTTGGTTGGTCTGATCTGTATGCTTTATAATAAAATCATAGGTTTAAGTATAATGCTCTCCTAAGTTCTATGAGTTGTTCTAGCAAATTAGCAAACTTCAAACTGTATTTTTCCTCTGCTCTTACACCAACACAACAATCAACACAGAAAACTTTTGTGACATGTGGGGTGTGTGTGTGTGTGTGTGTGTGTTGGGAGGGTTCTCTCCACCACCATGAAGGGGACTCTGGCGGGATGCCCTCCAATTCAATTCTGACACTACGTGGAGACAGTGTCAAATCCCACAGGTTGACAGCTCAGTCCCCAAGACGACCCTCTCTTTCAGACACCAGTCACAAATCCAGGCCTCCAGAACGTCTGACCAACTAGCTTCAAGTTGGGGTTCCCACAAGCACTTCTTTGGTTTCCTTTTGCTGGAGCAGCTCGCAGAACTCAGGAAACACGTTTACTCATTTGTTATAAATGACATCACAAAGGACACAGGTAAGAGATGCATGGGGCGAGGTACGGGGGAAAGGGCAAGGAGCTTCCACCTCCTCCTCAGGTGCACCACCCCGCCCTGGGAACCTCCATGTGTTCAGCTCTCTGGAAGCTCCCTGAACCCCGTCCTCTTGGGCCTTTTATGGAGATCTTCATTGGATAGGCATCACGGACAACTCTACAGAAACGTTACTGGACAAAGGGCATGTGATCTAAGCCCAGGCCTAAGCAAGGCCTGTCTGCTCAGAGTCTTCCTGGCCTCCCTGTGCAGCATTCGTTCCTCCTGGGTATGGGGCAGGACCCTCTCTGGAATGAGGGTCTTCTGACTCACAATCAGATTGGAGTCCTGAGATTCTGTTTCCTGTGGCTGCTTCTGAGTCCTAAAGCACTCAACATTACCACAAAGGACTGTAACAAGGGCTGTGGGAGTTATGAGCCAGGAACCACGGATGAAAACATATATTTACATATATTATGTATTAAGAATATCACAAGGAGATCATGCGAACCCCCCAAACGTGCAACAGGCATCTGCAGTGAGAGCAGCCACACTGGGGACCGTGCCCTCACGCGTCCAGCCAGCACAGACACCTGTGTGTGCCACAGGGACTGCACTTCTGCCTGAAGAGCTTCCTGCATCTTGTAGGGCAGATCTACTGGCAATGAACTCTGCAGCTTTTGCATGAAAAAGTCTTTACTTCGCCTTCATTTTTGAAAAGTATTCTCATTGGCTGCAGACTTTTGCACTGACAGTTTTGTACCTTCAGTCCTTTAAGATGTACTCACAGGGCTTGATGGCACACGCCTGTGGTCCCAACCGCTCTGGAGGCTGAGGCAGATCGCTTGAGCGCAGGAGTTGGAAGATGCAGTGAGCTACGATCACACCACTGTACTTCAGCCTGAGCAACGCAGCGAGATGTCTCTTTAAAGAAGAAGAAGGAAAAAAAAGATGTTACTCCACTGTCTTCTCACTTGCATAGTTTTTAACAAAAAGTCTATTGTAGTTCTTTGCTCCTCTGTATGAAATGTATCTTTTTTTCTCTGGCTACAAATTTTTCTCTTAATTTTTGATTTTCAGTAGTTTCACTGTGATACCCAGGTGGTGGGTTGGTTTGTACTGAAGGTGCCTTAGAGTTCTCTGAACTTCACAGATCTCTGGTTTGCTGTCTTTTATTAACTGAAACATTCTTAACCATGAGCTCTTCAAATATTTCTTCTGCTCCACTTTCTTTCTAGAGCTCCAATTACACACATTAGACCATCTGCTATTGCCCCACAACTCTTGGATACTCTGTTTTTGTCAGTTTATTCTTTTGTCCTTCTTATATTTCACCTTGGATTTCTACTGACCCCATTTTCGCTTTTGCTGATTCCTTCTTCAGCTAAGTCAATCTGCTGATAAGCTCAGCAGAATAATTTTTCAAAAGAAATTATTCATCTATGATTTTTTTACCTCTAGCATTTCCACTGAACTCTTTTTCATAGTCTCCATCTCCTAAAATTCCTCTCAGTTTTATTATGTATGATACATGTTATGTCTCTTTTTCACTAAATCTTTTAACATACTACTCACAGGAATCTTAAAGTCCCTGTCTGGCAGTTCCAGCACCTGGGGCATCTCTGAGTCTGCTTCCATTGGTTTATCTCTTAACAAGATATTCACTTTTTTGTGTTTCACAATTTTTTGCTGAGCATCAGAGAACAATAGAAACTGAAGTAAACAGTATCTAAACCCAGAATTGAGTACATCTCTTTTTCTGCTGGGCCATTAGAGGGTGTGCATGCACAGGGGGTATGACAATCTCATCTTTAGCTGAGCTGGGTTTGGGTCTTATAATCCTCAGAGCACCACAGGCTCAAATTTCCCCTACAGTAGGCTGCCTTAAACTTCATGGCACCAGAACATTCTTCTCAGAAAATACTGTCCAAAGCAGAAAACTTACTACTTGTACCTGCTGGATGCTAGAACAAAGGCAGAAAAGCAAGCCATGTGACTTTTGCTGAAAAGCTCAGACTCATATGAAGAGGTGAACAACTCTGCAGGCTGCCTCAGTTTGAGGACAAGCCTGCACTTTATTTTGGCAGTAAAATGAATGTCTGTAAACAAAGCACTGACAAAAATAAATCAACATTGTGGTTGAATATGTAAAAGATCTGCCAAACATTAATGTCCTCTGTATCTTACTGTGCACACAGGTCTCCAGCTCATTCTCCAAACGAAGCACACAGAGATGGACTCACTCACCTGGCCCATGGCTACAGAAAGTCTCGGCTCACCCCATTTTCCCAGGCTAGGGGTCTGCCTCCCTTCCACTATGCAGTCCAGAGTTTCCTTAACGAAGTCTTCAAGCACTACGTTGTAGGTTTCACATAAATCTTTTATCCGCCTATAGAACGCTGCCCAGCCAGATTTCCAATGTCACACGATGAAATGACTTCCCTTAGTAACAGATCTAGACTTTCATGTTGGTACTATCTTTCTCAAGTCCTTGAGAAAATGAAAGAATATACTGGGGCAGCCATTTCAATCCTCAAAGTCTGGGGTGAACCCAGCTACATATTAACGTATGCAATGCAAGAGGAGAGGCACTGGACACTTGGGATGGCTCCCTCATGAATTAGGTCTGGCTAAACCTAATTGCTCAGTAATAAATTTCTTAAATGTTCAGTTGTTTTTAAAATGCCCTGTATTTTCTTGTGTTCACTAGATCAGACCCCCACCTCTTTTTCTTAGCAACCACTTCACTGTGGTTTCTATAGGGACACAGTAAATCTTTAGGGAAAAAGTTATGTGGGAAAGTTTTTTGTTTTTTTCCAGAAGGATGGTCACTATGCAATATGGCCAAAAAAAAACCTCTTCAACTTTATCCCAACTCTGATTTCACCTAGGTGAATACCTGAAATTTAGCAAGAAAAAAAGTAACTTTGCCATTAAGAACAGTAGAGACTACTAAACATTTGATATGTTTTGGGAGGAAGAATCAGGGAAATATATCAATATAGAAAAATGTATAAAACAGCAAAATGCTCAGAGCACTTAAATTCAATATAGAAATGAGGCAGACTAAAACAATGCTCCTATACAGCTTCGATAAATTTCTTCTTGATCTAAGTTTTTAGACTAAAAAGATGCACTAATTTCTAAACTAAAAAGATGCCCAGCACAATGAACGAAAAGATGCATATCACTTTTCAAAAAACCAGAGACAAAATGCAGACCCTCAGCGTTTCTAGATGGTAAAACAGGTGGCATGGAAAGGGTCAAGACGCAAATGGCACCAGATTTCCCAACTGCAACACTGGAAACCAGAAGAAAATAGAGGAATATCTTGAACTAACTCCAACCAAGAACTCTACACTCAACAAAACTATCAAGTCAAGGTCAAAGACATACAAAATCTAGGAAGCTACAAGAGGATGTTGTTCCCAAAGGGGGAAAAAAGGAAGACAACATCACATCTAGAACCCAGCTTTCTAGTCCGTGCATGGGTGACTCCAACTCCGTGACCGGCAGTCAGTGCAGTGATACGGCACTCACACTAACATGCCAGTCCACACGGCACTCAGCTGTGTGTCAACCACTGCTCTAAGCACTTTTCCTATTATCCATGTAAGTCTTACAACAATTTAATTAGTAAGCGTCATGAACATACACATTTGAAATGTTAAGAATAAACAGATATATTCTAAGCCACCAAACTAGATTTTAAAAATATAGCTAAAAAGGAAGATATGGTTCAAATTATTTTTAAACAATAAAAAGTATCAAGGACTTATGATATGCCAGATGCTAAAGACTTCATGTGCACCATCTGATCTAAGTAGCCCAGTGAAGCATGCACTATCATCATCACGCATTGTGATTTTAATTCTGCAAGATCACAGGAAAGAAACTGGACAAAAAGTGAGGGGCAGAGTTAGGATTACACTCAGCAATCTGACTCCTGAGCCTAGTGGCTGACATGTACGCTATATTTACTCTCATTTTAAAGCAATGAGTCTTTCTCACTAACGTTGACTCAAAAAAAAATAAATAAATAAATAAATAAAGCAATGAGTCTGTGTACATCTAAAAAAGAAAGTTAGATACAACAATTAAGATTTACCTCTTTGCTCAGAATGTTCTTTGCCCTCTCCCCCGCAGCCAGGAAATACCATTTAACCTTAAAGACAGAGCTTAAAGATGCCTCTTTAAGAACCTTCCATCCCTCCCCTAATTAGGCACTCTTCCTTCTGTCCTCTAAATTCATTGCTATTTTTCTATCCTACTAGGCTATCAGCAGGATTGTGCCTTGCCTTAGTCACTGCTCTGAATACCTTCTTAAGGAGGGACCTGTTCAGCCTTCAGACTACATTTTCTAACAGCTGCCACCACTGTTCCCCCTCCAAACCTGTCTTGGGATGGTCCACGGGCAGCAGCATGTTATGCTAACTACACAGCTCTGTCTGCCACCACCACTCACCCCAACCGCAGCCCACCAGACGAGGGGTAGGAACTCCGACTCAAGCCCGACCAAACAAACTCTATTCCCCAAGAGCATGGAAATGACACCTTAAGTCAGGCGGGATCCCGTACCTGGGAGTGTATCAGGAACTGACAGCTGTGGCTGGCTACCCTCAAGATCACAGCTGTTTCCTTGTTCTTGTCCATTCCTAGGCCCCTCTACATTCCAGTCCTTACAATTAATTCCATTACTGTTATTATTTTTGCTTAATCTAGAGCTTCAACTGGTTTGTTTCTTGCAATCAAATAACACTAATAAAATTATCTCTATACCCAAACCTACACCAGCACCAAGTAACCTAGGTGCTTGTGAATAAATATACTATCTCTTCATTTTATGGCTGCACCAATGGTCTCTACGAGAACTCCCAAAACCCCATCTGTCTTCCCTGCCAAGCTCAAATCTGTTGCCTCCAATTGCCCACCCACAACTCCAAAGCCAGCAACAACAGATCCTCATCCTCCTTTCGTGTGGCCAATCTTGGTAGCATCTGCCACACCCAATCATGTCCTCTTTGAACCTGCTAACCGGTTCTCTCCTGTCAGTGATCCACACCTTGTTATTTCCCTGCCCTGATGCACTCCAATTCCTAGAAAACAGTAAGCACTGCAGTGCTCTAAAGGCTCAATTCCCCATCACGTTTACAGGCCTGTCAAATTCCACCAGTATGAAATGATGAGTAACTGAGTGTGCCTTTCCTTTCCAGCCCACTGATGATGGTCCTGGCACAGACCAAACACCCCTGCATGCCCCTGCACCCTGCGCTCTACCCCTGGTGCCTCGGCCACCTTCCGGCTCACCATCTTTGCCTGTTACTTTCTTCCTCACCCCACCTCTCTTCTTCTTCAATCCATCTTAAACATCACTGCCTAATTTATCTTTCTGAAGGACAGCTCTGACATATGACTCCTCCGCTCAAAAGACTTCAAATACTCCTCCTACGGAAGAAAAATCAAACTTTCTATCCTAGCCTAATTTAAAATCCTCACCAACTATATTCCCGGGGAATTCCTCCCCAGGCAGTCTGATTCAGCAAGCCCAGGGAGGGTCAAACAGATGTACACAAACACCCCCGGTGACACTGGTGCCCTCTGCCAGATTTGGACTGAGGCCTTGACCACTAGGTTCTTAACCAGAAACCCTAGAAACACATATTTTTGCCTTGAAGAATTAGAGGCAATTTTAAAAAGTAAAATATTACCCCCCAAAAGTGAAGAAAAAGGATTTAGCAGCTAAAGACATGAGTACCTTAATTTCCTATAAAAACTGCAAAGCACATAAGGTATTCTGAGTTGAAAGTGTTTTTATAACCCATGTTCTAAATAATCTGTGATTTAGAATGGAGACTGGAAAGAAACAGGAATGACAGACACCATGCCTCAGCTGTGCAGATTTGCAGTGCTCCGTACAGCTCGGC